ATTTCTGGTTCCCCTAATCTATTCTGTTCATCTACATTTGTGTTTTTGTGCCAGTTCCATGTTTGTTTTGTTGCTATAATTCTATGGTATAAAATGTGGTGCAGTAATTCCTCTAGCATTTCTATTTTTCTCAAGATTACTTTGGCCATTTAGTGTCTTTTGTGCCGCAATGGGAATTTTAGGATTGACATTTTTTGGGGGGGTCCGGTTGTGGGCCTGAACTCTGAGCCTGGGCGCTGCCCCTCAGCTCTTCAGCTCAAGGCTAGCGCTCTACCACTTGAGCCACAGCGCCACTTCCGGCTTTTTTTTTGCTTATGGGTGCTGAGGAATCGAACCCAGGGCCTCAAGCATGAAAGGCAAGTGCTTTACTACTGAGCCACCTTCCCAGCCCCTGACTTTTCTATTTCTGGTTTGAGTGTCACTGAAATTTCTGTATGGCCAGGTTAAAAAAAAAAAACCCTCTAACTTATCCCAAGAATTCAAAGTCAGTTTACTGCAGATACCTACCTATGTTTATTGATGCAGTTTTTACAAAGCCAACTTATGGACTCAGCCTAGGTTAACCATCAGCAAATGAATACAGATTATGTGGCATGTATTTACAATAGAATTTTATTCACCCATAAAGAATAATAAAATTATACTGCTTGCAGGAAAATAGATGGAACTGAAAATCGTCCTGTAAAGGAAAATAAGGTAGTCTCACAAAGGTAAGTGTTGCACATTTTTTTTTAATATGTGAATTTTGGTGGAATGGAGCAATGAAAATAAAAGGAAGACTATTATACATGTGGAAGAGGGAAGCTGAGAGGGGAGATAAGAAAGGGACTGGAGGAGTGAATAGGAGTAAAGACCATTATAGTCATGTACTATTGTTTGAATGTAAAATGTTCCCCACCACCTCATGTGTTGAATTAGTAGTATTTTGGGAGGCTCTGGAAACTGTAGGAGATGGGGAATAGCTGGAGGAAGTAAGTCATGGCAAGCATTCCTTTGAAAGTTTTCCTGGTCCTCTGTCCCTTCCTCAAACTCTATACTTGATTTCTGCTATGAAGTAAAAATGTTCCTATGCCCCAAACTCCCATCTGAAAGCACCCATCCCAGAAGACCACATAGACACAGTCACTTACAGGAAAAGGAGTTTATTGCCAGCCAAGTCTGACAAGGCCTTCTCCACCATGGGAAAGAGAGAGAAAAATAATGCCTATTTCTTTCCCAGGGATATCCTTATACTCAGGGCTAGAGGCAGGAAGCACTCTGGTGCACAGGTGGTCACTGAAAACAGTGCATAGGTAGGGTGGAGTTTAGGTCTGGGTGGAGGGTGTTCTGCTGATGCAAAGATACATGCTGAGGGCCTGTGAAGCCCCAAATGGAGGACAGACTAACATCATCAAGATGATGTTCTGCTCAAGTATATGGGGACAAGTAACAATGGACTGAAGCAACATAAATCTTTGTTCTTCTTAGGTGTTTTGGTACCAACTATGCTAAAGTAAATAGCAAGGAATGTTTGGGAATGCCATATAAAACCAATTATTTGTACAATAAATACATGCTAATAAAATGTTTTAGGGAAAATAATACTCCTACATTTTGCTTATTTATGAAAAATGTTTGGTCTGTTTTTTTCTTTTCTTGATATATTTTAGAGTTAGTTTATAAATTTCTGCAAAACACTTTGTGAAATTGATAAAGGATTTGTTGACTCTGTAAATCGATATGAAGAATATTGCCTTTAATAAATACTGAGTTTTAAGTCCAGGAGGATGGAAGTCCTATTTATTTTAGATCTTTTACTTTCCTGAGCAAGACTGAAGGACTGACTCCCACCTTATTCCCCCAGGTTAAGCAAGACAACAGGTGCACACGAACAGGCTTGACCACATGCCTGTCTGAAGGCAAGTTCCAATGTAGGCCTGGGCAAATACACCACTCTTGCTCCCCAGGGGACAATAGCCCCTCAAACCAGGTGGAACATTCCATTCTGGACTTAACTGAAAGTACTCGCCCTTATCTCCCAGTCATTACAGCCTGTTTTTTACTCCTTTGCTTCCTTGTTAAGCCCATGTAAGCCCACCCCAAAATACAGTCCCTCGCATAACCTCCAAACCCATGGGAAGGTCTGTACCCCTCACTGGTAATAAACAGTTGACGATTGAGTCTGGCCTATTTCTTTTCCATTTTCCTACATTTTACTAAAAACCATTATATACTTTCCATTGCATAAGTATTACACTTCTTTTGATAATTTTGTTCCTAAGTGTTTTGTGGTTTTATGTCATAATTGAAAATACTTCATCACACAAAAGGCTCCCTGCTCAGCAGGGTGTGCTCCTGAGCACACTGTTAAAATATCCAAAGGGTGTCATGCACTCAGTTTCCCATGACTTTCTGAGTAGATATACAAAATGTGGTCTGTACATGCATTAGAGTGCTTCATACTGCAACCTGGATGAACCATAAGGAATTCATGATGCTAAGTGAAAGCAGGCAGACAAAAAGTAACATATGCTTACCATATGATCCATCTATAAAAAATGTCCAGAACAGCTTGTCCTGTACAGTCAAAAAACAGATTTGAGGCTGCCAAATGTGAGGAAGGTATAGTTGGAGGTGGGGGTGGACATAGAGAGCGACTATGTCTATGGGGCACGTGGGCAGCAAAGATGGCGCTGAGAGGGAGTTGAGTTGGCAGAGCTCGATTTGCTTTACGTTCAGTGCCTAACTAGCCCATGGAAGCTTAGGTGCATGATAGGGTGCAACCTTTACAGTGATTGGTTCCTTCCCCTCCCATGCCACCCGGTCTTTTCTGCTTTAAAAAGTGCTTGCTGTGTGTTAATAAACGAGTTTTCCTGCTTGACTTGACTCCCCGCTGCATCTGATTGTCTCCCGGGCTAGGGGAGGCTGGGGTCCGGGCTAGTGGCCGCACTTACTTTTCCTTGGACCCTGTCCATCTTTCATGGGATGGACCAAGACCCAACGTATGTCATCATTCGGGGAGTTATGAAGATGCTGGGACAGGCATATATGTTTCTCCTAGGCTACCCATCTGCAGACTTCTGTCTGCATTGATTATTTTGTATAGCCCAGTGAGTGATGTGATAAATACCCTAAAGACCCCCAGTAGAGAAAAGGTTTCCCATTCCTTGGCAGGTTGTGCATATGGGGGTCCTTTCTGGGTAGAGAAAATGCCTTGGAAGCAGATGGTGGTGAATGTTGCAGGGCACTGTGAACATGTTCAATGACACTGAGTCTGGCTGACCCTCCCCCAGTCCCCTTCCTCCACTTAGAGTAACAAAAAGTGGAATATGGAGAAAGCATCTAGAATTTCTGGGACACTAACAACCAAAAGTCTATACATCATGGAGCCTTAAAAGGAGAGAAGAGACAAAGGAATCTCAAAGAAATAATGGCTTAGAACTCACCAGAGGGAGGAAAATGGCCATACTAACTTGTATAACCAAAGATCCTTAACCTTGTAGAGGTTTGTGCTGAGAAACATCATACTTAAATTATGAAAAGTCATAGGCAAGCCTAGTGCCAGGCTCAGGCTTGTAATCCTAGCTATTTAGGAGTCTGAGATGTGAAGGTCCAGGTTCAAAGCCAGCCCAGAAGGAAATCCATGAGGCTGCTATTGCCAATGAATCACCTAAAAGCCAGAAATGGCATTGTGGCTCAAGTGGTAGAGTGCTAACCTTGAGTGCAAAAGCTAAAGGACAGCGTCCAGGCCCTGAGTCCGAGTCCCAGATCTGGCACACAAAATGTTAAAAAGTTTGTGAGAGGGCTGGGAATGTGCTAAGTGGTAGGGTGCTGCCTAGCCTGCATGAAGCTCTGGGTTTGATTTCTCAGTACCAGACACACAGAAAATGCCAGAAGCGGCTCTGTGGCTCAAGTGGTAGAGTGCTAGCCTTGAGCAAAATAAGCTAAGGGATAGTGCCCAGGACTGGCAAAAAAAAAAAAAAAAAAGGAAAACCTTTGAGACTCCAAATAGCCACCAAAAAGCCAGAAGTAGAGCTGTGGCTCAAGTGGAAGAACGTTAGCCTTGAGTAAAAGGGCTCAGGGACAGTGCCCAGGCCGAGTTCAAGCTCCAGATCAGCACCCACACCAAACAAAAGGAAACAAAAAGTTTGTGCGTCTCCATCTCCCCCAATGGTGGGATACAGCGGCATACACCCGAAAGCTCAAGTAAGGGGATCACAGCGCAGGCCTGCCTGCCCGGGCATGCAACAAGAGCCAAGGGCTAAAATAACCAATGTAAAACGAGGCTGGAGGCCCGAGTGCAGAGGCAGAGCACCTGTCCAGCAAGCTGGAGGCCCTTGCCCTTTCCCAGCATGATCCAGGACGGGTGGAAGCACGAGAATCGCCGCCTGAGGGGAGAGGCAGGTTCCCGGGGAGCGACGGCACCTGCGCGCGACGGCACCTGCGCGCGACGGCACCTGCGCGCGACGGCACCTGCGCGCGACGGCACTTCCGGACGGGCTCGGGCGGACTGGTGAGGTCATTACCCGCCGCCGGCAGTTGGCACGGGGTCACTGTCGTGCCCGGCGTCCCTTCCAGGCGGCGGCTGGGACAGGAGCCCTCCAGGGTACACTTGGCTTTCAGCCAGCCCCCGAGTCAGGCCAGGTGAGGTTGCCGGGACGATGGCATGCTGGGAGCCACGACGAGGGCCCCGCAGGCCCCACGTCTGAAGGCGACTGGGGTGGGGCTGGAGGGGTGGCTTGGGCTGCCACGAGGCCCGGTGTGCAGGTCAGGACGGCCCAGGGCCCCAGCCGGGTTTGCGTAGAGGACCACGCCGGGGTGGGTCCACGTCCCACCGGCTGTCATTCGTGCCCCCAGGGCGAGCCGGCGGCCAGGCCCAGGTCTGGATTTGCGGAGCGTCAGGGGCGGTGCCAGGGCACCCCCCTCCCCAGCTGTGACTGCGAGCGGCGTGCGCTCCACACCCTCCTCCCGGACGGCCTGCTGGTTGCCCAGGCAACGGCGGGGCGGGAGCGCAGGCGGTCTAGCGCGCACCCCGCGGGGACGCATGGCACGTCGCGGCTGGCCCGCTGCGTCAGCGCGCTCACCCGGAAGCGGCGAGTGGTCGACATGGCGGCCTCTTCGTCAGGCTTGGGCCTCGGCCTCGGCCTGGGCCTAGGCGGCGGCGGCGGCGGCGGCGGCGGCGGCGTAAGCCCAGGGTCCGAGGCCGGGGACTTCCTGGCTCGGTACCGGCTGGTGTCGAACAAGCTGAAAAAGCGTTTCCTGCGGAAGCCGAACGTGGCCGAGGCCGGCGAGCAGTTCGGACAGCTGGGCCGGGAGCTGCGCGCCCAGGAGTGCCTGCCCTACGCGGCCTGGTGCCAGCTGGCCGTGGCGCGCTGCCAGCAGGCGCTGTTCCACGGGCCCGGGGAGGCGCTGGCCCTGACCGAGGCCGCGCGCCTCTTCCTGCGCCAGGAG